ACCAAAAGCACATTTAGTCGGATTCATCTTCAACTTGTACCTCTTCATCCGCTTGAAAGCCTCTTTAAGATCTCTCAAGTGTTCCTCAAAACTGGAAGATTTGACGATGACGTCATCTACATATACCTCCATAGATTTACCAATAAGATCATGAAAGATCGAATTCATGGCCCTCTGATAAGTTGCCCCTGCATTCTTCAAACCAAAAGGCATAACCGTCCACTTATAAATACCTAAAGCTCCTGGACATTGGAATGCTGTCTTATGAATGTCTTTTTCTGCCAAAAAGATTCGGTTATATCCTGCATAACCATCCATCAAACTGAGAATTTTATGTCATGCTACTGAATCAATCAATATGTCAGCCATAGGCATCACATACTCATATTTAGGAGTGGTCATATTAAGATCCCTGAAATCAATGCATATCCTGATCTTACCATTCTTTTTAACCACTGGTACAATATTGGCCAACCAATCTGCATAACGGCAAGGCCGGATGAAACCTACTTTAAGAAGTTTCTGAATTTCCTCTTTGATCTGAGACATTAAATCAGGACTCATACGCCTTGGAGGTTGCTTGTAGGGCTTAAAACCTTTTTTAATAGGCAATCGACGCTCTATCAGACTTCGCTCTAGACTAGGCATTTCTGAATAGTCCCAAGCTAAACAATCAATATTGTTTTTTATAACTTCGAGCATCAATATTTGTTGCTCTTCAGACAAATAACCACTCATTTTAATTATTTTTGAAACCAGGTCGGTTCCTAAGTTAAATTTTAATAAAGGATCTTGTGCCGAAAAAACTGGTTCTGTTTTCTCTAATAAATCAGGCCAACGAAATTGTTCATCTTCTTGGAAATGACATCATGAATCTTTTTGATTTTTTCTACTTTTTTCAAAAGCTTATCTAAATAAAACTAATTAATAAGAACACTACAATCTTGTAAATTTGCACCTTCCATAAAAGATATATTATAAAGTAGGTTTGGCTTTCTCATGAGCCATACAGTAAAGTTGTTCTTTTTAAAAGAACATTGAATTATGGCTGATGAATTTAAAACCCTTCTTTGGGTATTCATTAGCCATAAACAACTGAGACATTGGGGGGTACATGACTGGAATAAAAAACTGATTCTTCAACTTGTTCTGATGCATCGAAAGAGTTGTCATTTGCTTCCATTTTGAAGACCTGATTGCCTTCCCAGAACATTAATCATTGATGCAGTGTTGATTGTACACATTGAGATGCATGAATCCAGTCTCGCCCTAGTAGGATTGAATATGAAGTATCCGCATCCACCACAAAGTAAACAGAAGAAATCTTTTTAGGACCGACTTCAATTGTAGCGACCATCATACCTTCTGGTCTGGTCAGCTGCCCTGTAAAGCTGGTCATCTCAAAATCTACTTGAGACAAATCGTGAATTCCCTTCCCTAACTTCTTAAGAGTCTTTAATGGCATCACATTGAAGACGGCTTCATTGTCTATAAAAACCTTCATGATTGGTTTCCCGCAAATATGAGCATTAACATACAGAGGCTTTAAATGAGACGCCATGCCTTCTGGAATGGGAGGGAAGACTATCGGGGGAACCTCTGACTGAAAATCAGGATCTGAAATCTTTTCCCATTCTGGCTCTTCTATAAAATCATCCACCAGACTTGCCCACAGGGGTTCTTCTTCAATCCAATTAATTCCTGTCATTCGGCAGGGAACTCGTGGCCCTAGTCGAGACTTGATAGACCTTTAATCTGTTTCCGAGGTAAGAATTTCTTCTATGATCTCACTTTCAGGTTGAACTGTCAGAGATTCCAAACGAAATTCCTTAATAGACGAATTAATGTTAATCCGTTCACAGTACTGACATCTGAAACCCTCAATTCTTTCATCTGATACTTCTTTACCCCTCTTTTGTATGGACCGACCTCCTTCATTGCAATAAAAAACGCCCTGCACGCACTTAGGCTGCCTTGAGGAGAAGACCTTTATGGACCGACCTCCCTCAGTATAACTAGCAGCGCCTCGGATGTCGTTCGGCTGCTTTGATAAGGCAACCCGTATGGACCGACCTCTTTCCGGATAAACGGTAGCCACTGGTACATCATTCGGCTGCTCAAATGAGACAACCCTTATGGACCGACCTCCCTCTGGATTATCAGCAGTGCCTCGGATGTCGTTCGGCTGCTTTGATGAAGAGACCTTATCCCTGTACCTCACAGCATACCTTCGCTTGGCATTACGAATTTGAGTACGATTCATACCCGAAAAACGAGGATCCACATCGACTGGTAAAGATTTTTTATTTCGAGCCCATTTGCTCCCGACCAAGCCAGTCCTTCTAATCGGGTGGTCTCAAACCAAAACTTGCTCCTTTAACTACACATTAAAAGAACCATCTTGATTGTCTTATTTTTCGGCCACTGTTTTTTCACAAACCTTGAGTTTCTCTTCTGGTCGGCCACTGTTTGATGGGTTTCATTTTCCCAATCTAGGACTTGCTTGTATATTAACCATTGCTGTGGTTACTTTTGGAAAAGGTTGTTGCTCTACACCCAAAGTGATATATTTGAGCCGACCTGCCTTAATGGCCTTTTGGATCTCATTTCGAAAATGAGTGCATTGACTTGTATTGTGTGTGAAAGAGTTATGCCACTTACAATATGGTCTTCCTTTGATTTCTTCCTTAGTAGCTAACCTTTGCCCTTTTGGAATTCGAATCTGGCCATCAGTTAGCAAAATATCAAAAATTTCATCTGCCTTTGAACTGTCAAATGTGGGTTGCTCTCTTCCTTCAGTTCCTGGCACTGACTTTAATTTAGAGCACACATAAGGCTTTCCTAAAATGATTTCGGCCGCCATTTCTTCTGTCTAATCAAAATCAAAGTCGTATGCTTCTGTTTCCATACTCGTCATATGTTGAACTTTATTACGCCTGAAATTCCGACCCTTTTCTCTGAAAAGAGACTTTAAACGTCTATCCTTGGCAGTGAGACTTGCCAAATCTTCCACATCATGAGCAGTGAGTGCCTCTCTTAGGCGGCCATGCATATTTCTAACCACTAAATTGGTCATTTCTTTTTCATTGATTACAGTAGGATAACGTCCTTTCATCAATCGCACCCTTTCAATAAACTATGAAGCTGACCCTTCTGGATATTGCTTCAATTCCAATAAATCGGTAAGAGAAACAGTTGGTAAAGGATTGAAGAATCTAGCATGGAACGCCATTTCCAAACCTTCCCAAGTTTGTATTTGCCCAGGTGGCAGATTTACAAACCATGAAAAAGCTGTTCTGGTAAGAGATAACCCAAATAATTGCAGTTTGTAAAAAGGATTATTTCCAACTTCCCCCAACTGTGCTGTAAAGCAACCCACATGCTCTATGGTGGAGGATCCGTCTTCCCCTGAAAAAGCGTGGAAATCAGGTGGTCGATAATTCCTTGGAAGCGGATAGTCGTTAATGATCCTTTCGGGGAAAGGTATTTGATAAGCAGGGCGGTTGGCCATCTGAGGATTCAAACCGAAATGCACCCTCAACACTTGCGCAATCTCTTCAGGATCCACACGAGGGTTTTGATGATCAGGGATAAGGATAGGATCCTGAATATGTGCTCCTTGTCTCTCTTCCCTGACAATGTACGGCCGCGGATTGTCAACTCTTGGCCCCAAAGGAACATTATTAAGGAAAGTTAGAGGATTTTTTCCCCTATCTGTTCGGTTGAACATTGTGACACTTGGCAATGTACTGTCAACGTATGATGGCCCTGCGAAATTTGCTTGCATTCTTGATGGTGATATTTCTGGTGGTGTCTGAGTGGGTTGAAGAGTAACCCTTGATAAAGCTTGATCTAACATGTTCTGCATGAGATTCTGTTGCTCCCGCAACATGTTCTGCATAGCCAAAGTTTGCTAATTGTTCAATTGTTGAATATAAGACAACCAATCGGTAGGTGGTTGGGGATTCTCCCTTGGATTTGGCATGACAGATGGTGAAATATTTTCTCCTACCGGTGCTGAAGAAGATTGAGGTTGTGAGCCTGACATATTGATCTTTCTGATGATTCGGCCGGACCTCAGTCGTATGAAATTCTCTGTTGATGTAGGATCAGCAATCTTGCCTTTCTCCCACTGTGGTCGCCAATTTGTTGATGGGTTTTTTCAACAATAAAAAGTAAAATCCGAAAATAGGAAATTATCTTCGAATTTGATATAATCAGCACCTGAGATTAGGAATCTCTAAACACTGTACGGTACATAAGAAAATACTAGAAAGTAAATGCTATAGACTGAAAATTAAATGATGATCCCCGAATCACTTTGCTGATGTTTGAAGATGATTGAAGATACCCTGCCAGTTGCAGATCTTAATCCTTAAATATTCCTCTGAAACAGTACCTGGAACCGTCGCCCGAACGGTTACAACGCCTTCTCTCAATCATCTGCTAATTCCTCTTTTGCTGACACGTGTTCTCAACTGTCTTGTTACCCGCGTAGCCCAACAGACCAAGCTACTATTCTCAATCGCTCTCCGCAGCATCCGACCTCCACAACAACCGACTTGCTCATCCAACTGCGGATCAACCGACCTGCCTGTCCGACCGCAGCCCTCCCGACTTGTTTATCCGACCACGGACCTCCCGACTTACTTATCCGACCGCGAACCAACCGACCTATTTGTCCGACCGCAAACCAACCGACCTGTTTGTCCGACCGCAAATCTTCCGACTACGGACCTTCCGACTTACTTATCCGACCGCAAACCATCCGACTCGCGAATCATCCGACTTGTGAACCATCCGACCTGCGGACCATCAGACTCGCGAATCATCCGACTTGTGAACCGTCCGACCTGCGGACTTTCCGACCTGTGGACTCACCGACCCACCTATTTCCTCGAAAAAACGTCCAGTTCATCCGATTATCTTGAAATACCCCTTAAAAAGTCTAACAGACCCAATTACAGGCCCACATCTTCTTCTAACTTGAGCTTTTTAACCTAATTATAAATTTCATACGTAACACAAACTATTAGATTCGATTGAAAATGTGATTCCGAATTCCATGTCATAAAAATAATAAATGACAAACTGGTGTAGTGTCATGTCAACGATTAGGCATGGACTGAGTCAACGAACACAGCCATCTCCGGCAGTCGTTCTGCGACACGGAGCGCCTAAATCTCGACGAACTGGAGGGGCACTCAACCAGCTGACTCCTCAGGCTGTGATCTGTCTTCCGACGAACAAGACAAGCTGGACTGATCATGTCCGAAGCTCCCATGCAAAGGCCTGTGCTGCCGAGTTTCATCGAAGGAAACCTTTTGCAGCTAAGTGACCGAAATGAAGAAGAACCAATTAGCGGCGGGGAGAATCGAAAATCCCGCTTGCAACTCTGCATTGTTTCGGAAGAGTTCAGATGTGGTGCGGCGCAATTGCAGAAGGGCAATGATAGGCTTGTCCTTGCAATTTCTTTGATTTCCGGTGAGCTAATTGTTCCTGACAATTCGACGAAACCAACTATGCCATTACGGCATAGGGGGCAGGGGATTGACCCCGGTGGCCCATCAGCCACAGTCGACGAGGTGTTAGTAGAGCACAGATAGAGCGCGCAATGGGTGCAGAACTCGTGGGAACATCCTGCACGTCGCGCATGATTGTGATCTGATCATCATCATCGTGTATTAATTATTTTGAATTGATCCAAGGAAGAAATGCATACCTTGAGCAGCAACCGTGCACTTGCGTTCTAAGCAAACTACACATGGATCCAAGCACGTCGAGGATGAGTTGTCGCTTCGCCATCCGCCTCTCCAACCTCGGCGTCTGAAATGCCACTTAGCAGTTTCAGTTTTTCATACATGAAAATGACAACATGAGGTAGTAGCTAGTTTACCTAGCGATTTCGATGATGCTCATGAGAGGAAGACACAAAAATGGCGACGGACTCATTTTCGGTTGGCTTCTTGGCTGTCGACTTAGAATGTCTTCGAGGAAGTCTCTGTTCCACGAACGAGCAACCATCAAGGGAGTCATCCTACGGACCACAATTATTCCATACAGTATGAAACTTCAAAACTTATATATAATCTATGTTCTACGAAAACTTAAATCAGACAGTCCGTCGCATACCCGTTGGTGTTCTGAGCAGTGAGACTGGCACCCTTGGCAATCAGTAGCTGGAAATGCCCGGACCAAAAGATCACACCCATCAAATTTCTATATATACTTTGAACATCAAACATGTTTGGCTTGGCACCAGATAATTAAGCAAGCTGACCTGACAACATTGTGCGCTGCCTCCGCACGCAGCGTAATGGAGTGGAGTGCTTCCAGCGCCTGTCGTGTCGTGTCGGGAGATCAGAAACCAAACTTTGTCACGTCAATGTATGTATGTATGTGTGTGTTCAATTGAATAGCAAAATATCATCGATCCATCTGTGTACCTGTACCTACCTACTAAGTCGATTGTGGATCCGTCATCAACCGTTGCCTCATGTACCGATGCACCTAAATTCAGGAGGAGCAGAATGGTTTCAGCGTGCCCGTTGAGGGCAGCCATATGCAGGGCCGAGACGCCGCCATCAGCAGGCTTATTGATTACTTCATAGAGCGCACTGTCAGATCACAACTACCAATAATGAAATCGAAACAAATCTATAATTTCAAGGAAATTATTTCAACATTAACTAATAATACCCTTCATCATTATTTTCGGACAACAAAGTGCAGAGATCGGAGATGCTGCTGGGGACGTAATCAGCGAGGAGAAGGCGGACGCATCGAGTGTGGCCATTCAAAGCGGCTAAGTGTAGCGCAGTTCCTCCGTTGAGATAATCAGCCCTGTGTATCTGAAACAGCAGCAGTGTCGTAATTAACTTATGATCATAAACTACTACTTACGGATGAGAAATCGCACGAAACCAACCATACATTGGCTTTGAATATAATTAGAGTCTGGACAACCTCCCAATGGCCATATTGACAAGCTTGCATCAAAGCAGTCTGATGTTATATCAACGAGCAACAGTTATATATGGAATTCCAAGGAACAACCAAGGCATACATAATATATAAAGGAAACCTGTCCGCGGTAGTTCCTGAGATTGATATCGATGCTGGACTCAATCAAGAGTGACACAATCTGCAGCCAAACAAATCAGTCAAAGACATGTAATGCAAGCCTAATCGAAGCAAGTTATATATATATATATATATGTAGACATATAATATAAACCTCGTGGTGGCCCTGAGCTGCAGAATAGTGCAGAGGCGAATTCCGAACGCCGAAGGTGGAGTAACGAGCGAGACGAGGATTGTACTCCAATAAAGCCTTGGCTTCTTGAAGATCGCCGTCTCTTGCGGCGGAGACCAGACGCTCCCCGGACGCAGAGCATCCAAAAGAATTGCCCATCAGAATCAGATTGAAGAAACTCGTTTTCATTACAAGCAATCATGAAACGATCAGCAACAACAATGAGGGGAGGGGCAGTTGTTGTAGGCCAAGAATGTTAAATCAGAAAGAAAAGCATCTTTCGGATCAACTGAGGAATCCCACCAACACAACCTATTTTCTTTGCATGCTTTTTTTCCACCTAAACAGTAACCAACTCAGAACCAATCTTTACCTGCTCTATCATCAATACATTCTCCATCACCAACAGTCAGTTGTAACTACAAGGATGGATCACACTACACTACACTACTCTGCCCTGATTGATCAGTCAGTCAATGCCTTGCCTTGTGAATTCACCAAAAGGGCAAAAGAATAGACTCAGACTCTGTCTTTGCAAGTACCACTTGATCATTATCAGGGGCCCAGATGAAATAACAAAAGCTTTCTTGATTAAGACAGGTAGTTGCTAAATGACTTAGTCAGGCCCTAATGGCAATGGCTGGCTAGTAAAGCCACAGAGGCAAAAAGTAGACATCATCGTATCTTTGTTACAGAATATCCAAGGAATGGAATAGCAAGAAAACTGATAAATTTTCATCTCTCAAAGTCACCCCCAAATTAAACTTCACCAAAAGATGAAGATGAAGCAGCACCCAAGTATCAAATCAAACCCTAATTAAATCCAAGAGAATCAATCAAATTCATTTAATGTAAAGCACAAACTCAACCACCCCACAAAACTTAATTTTTAATTGTTTCATTCGTTGCCTCGAATTTTATTTATTTATCCGAAACGGCCACGATAACAATTAATTAAGAAATATAGGAGTATTAAAGAGAGACAATGACCCCCCAAATCCCTATGCATCCCCTTTCCTTTCATGGCGGACAATTAATTATGTGAAAGATGTGGTTGGAATGAGGTGTAATGCCGAACGTTTGGATTAAAGTAAAAGAGTAATGATAATTAGGGCAGGCAGGCAAGCAAAGGCGATTGTTTGTTTGAGAAAGACGTGGGGTGGGATATATAAAAGAAAGGGAGTGGGACAGCAACAGTGACAGCGAATATTGCATTGCGGCAACCTCTTTCTTTCTCAAGTGCAGTTCAGTGCAGTGCAGGAGGAACAGCAACAGGAATAATAGCTGTGATGTGGATAGTGGTGGCAATTGGGACTTTTTGTTGGAAATCGGTCAAATTTTATAGTTGGGTTCTAATTAATGTTGTTTCTATTCTTCCTTCCTACTGTGTCCTCTTGTCTCGCCCACAGCAGCTTAACTAACAGAATAAATTAAGGGTGTATTTTGTTTTGGGGTTTGGATTTTGAGTTGAGATTTGAATAGTAAAAATTTTGAATTTGAATAGTTGTATGATGTGATATAAATAGGTGTTGATGTGATATTTTGAATGTAAAATCAATTTTTAGTATAATATAAAAAATAAAAAATAAGTGTTTGATTTGATGTTTTTGGAGGAAAAATGAGATGAATAGTATAAATCCAATCCAATCCCCCAAACAAACACACCCTAATGTGTTTACTTGCATATCCAATTTTTTATTATCTTATTACGCAAAAATTTTATTTTACATTCAAAACATCAAATCAATATATATTTATATCACATTGTTGATGTATTTTTTCAACAAACAAAAAGTAAAATTCAAAAATATGGAAAATATCTTTAAACTTGATTAATTAGCGTATGAGAATAGGAATCTCTAAACACTATACGGTACATAAAAGGAAATAACTGGAAATTAAATGCTGAAAATTTAAAGTGGTGATCCCCGAATCTGACTTTGCTTTGTTGAAGTTGATTGAAGATAATTTCTCCAGAAAAAACCAAATCCTTAATACTCCTTGAGAAACGGTACTGGAAACCGTCGCCCGAACGGTTACAACGTCTCTTTTTCAACCGTCTGTTAACCCTTCTCCTGTTGACACGTGCCCTCAACCGACCAAAGTATCATTCTAACCTACTCTCAACAATATCCGCCTCTTTGGACCGACTGCAAACCTTCCGCCCTTTTGGCCCGAACACAACTCTTCCACCTTATTGGTCCGACTACCAACCTCCCAACTTACAGACCACCCGACTTGCTTGGTCCAGTCGCAGACCTCCCGACCTAAAGACCATCCGACTCACTGGTCTAGCCGCAGACCTCCCGACCTAAAGACCATCCAACTTACTGGTCCAGCCGCAGACCTCCCGACTTAAAGACCATCCGACTTACTGGTCCAGTCGCAGACCTCCCGACTTAAAGACCATCCGACTTATTGGTCCAGCCGCAGACCTCCCGACTTAAAGAACATCCGACCTGCGGACCTCCCGACCTGAGGATCTTCTGACCTGCAGACTTTCCATCCTGAAGACTTTCCGACCTGCGGACTTCCCAACCTGAGGACCTTCCGACCTGCGGACCTCCCGACCTGAGGACCTTCCGACCTGCGGACTTTCCGTTCTGAGGACTTTCCGTCCTGAGGACTTTCCGATCTGAGGACTTTCTGACCTGCGGACCTCCCGACCTGAGGACCTTCCGACCTACGGACTTCCCGACCTGAGGACCTTTCGACCTGCGGACCTTCCGACCTGCGGACCTTCCGACCTGCTATTTCCTTAGAAATATATCTATTTTACCTGAGTTTCCCACGGTACCCCTCGGCCAGTTCGATCAACTCGATTGCTAAGCCCATTTTTCCTTTTACCTTGGGCTTTTTAACCTAATTCTAAATTTCATACATAACAACTTGCCCGCCGCCAAGGGACTTTCAAACGCCATTTTCTCAATCGTCGTTTGGAAGTTCACAAATCACAAACGTACTGAGAAATCACCTTGGCAACTACACCAGTTACTGCAACACCCCTGATTCCACAAAACTTTCCTTCCTTTCCTACGAGCCTTTGTGAATCATTATCTCTACAACTCTAACCATGGTGAATCGATACATCCCTGCACTCCCTGTCGATGGATCACTCCCTAAAACCACTCTCGTGTCGACGAAAATGCGCACGCCAACTGTTCGTCCATATTGCACAACTGCTGAAGACTCCAACCGTATGAGAGAAGTCTTGGAGGCAAGAAATCTGCTGGCGATCAACAACCCTAACCACAACGCAACTCGCCTCTATGACAACATCAAAACACACTTGACGGACCTCAAGGATCCATATCGCACCTGGTACCAACGAGTAGCAGAACATTACCAGGGGCAATGGAAAACTCAACAAATTGATAAGGCCATACGTCTGTCAACTCTCCTATGTCATCTACATGAGAAAGTCCTTCTGGCTATGGCAGCGTTTTGGCACCCTGAGGTTTGCACCTTCCTTCTTCCAACAGCCCCCATCGGCCCTACACTCATGGACGTAGCCATGATCGCCCATCTGCCAATCGTAGGGGAAGACCCACCCTGTAATGGGTGCCCTAGATGGGCAAGAGCCCAATGCAGACCATTTGGGCTGGTCTTTGATAGATGTGAAAGAATGGGGCTGGACTAAATTTCTAATAGACCAGCAAGGAGCAGACGGGACCCTTGTAACCGACCGAGAACACACAGCCTTCCTGCTCTTTTGGCTCTGTAAGTATGTTATAGTTTCCCCTTCGAAATGTGTCCTCCCTTCTCATCTTGATCTTGCTATACACATAGCTTCTGGTCGGTTCTTTTCATTAGGCACCCTTTTCCTTGCCAATCTCTTTGAAGGGTTATCCAGGGTTAGTGCCCGCCTTACTGATAAAGATGGTAAGAAATTAGACACTGCTGCGTCGGGTCCTTTTTGGTTCCTGGAACTATGGTTCCGTTTCTATTTTCCGGACACCTTTCAACTCGGTCATCCTCCCATTGCCCCTACACTTGAGAAGCCTCTAGGAGTAACCCTAAACCGATTTTGCTTAGGCCGTAATAACCTCCAAGCGTCTGATCCAATCATAACTGCTATCATTACTGATAATCAAAATGATAACCATTTCTACCCACACAAAAGGTATATTGGTTATGCATCCAGCTTGTTTTGGCCATTCCCTGTTCCGTCACCTTTGTCCCAACCAGATCCACTTCCACATCCCACTTATTCTTTCTCTTGGAATGCTGTTCTTAAACCCAGGTCATTGTCCGCTAGTAAGAAAATTGATAAAAAAAGGGTCCCAAAATATTTTATACCTTCAACTATCAGCCTCAATTTGTGGCACGCCAATTCGGCTGCCAACAAGGCTTGCCTGGTCCCATTGCTCATCCCCATTTAATAATTCAAAGTCCAGATGGGAAAGCTATTCCTGATGCAATCGCCCCATACATATCCCAACTCACAAATTACATCACTTCCAACTCTTATATTCCTTACAAATCTGCTCCCACTTCAGTTGAATCCTTTCGTGAGTGGTGGTCGGTTACTTGGGCCCTGATCGCCCCTGACAAGGATCGCTTGCTGAACATCCTTCTTCCCCCACCTGCAATAATATTAGGGGCGACCCCTCTGACCAACACCTGAAGGAACTTGATTACTCAAGGCACTGAGTCGGGTGCTCCACAGAGGAAGAGAAGAGCCTCTTAAACTCAAACTATTCCCCCTTCTGGGGACAGTCAACCATCCCCAACAAATCGCCCATCAGGTCGGCCTCCTATAAGGACCCGACCCCGTCCAGGTATAATCTCATACTCTCAATTTAACTTGATTCTTTCCTTACCATGGTATTAATCCTTATTTTTATACTCAGGTGTGGCTTCGGTTTGGGCGACCGCACAACCTGCTTCCAGACCAACTAAAACAGCGAAGCCACCAACCTACCAACTACCAGAACCGAGCCCCCGACCAAGCGCCGGGCCTCGAATAAAATACCTTCATCCGCCGAGCAGGCAACAACAAGGGTCTCATCTCCCAGTGAGGCGACTGCTTTAGAGATGGGCAGGTTACCTTATGTTGCTTCAGACCCATCCCTGCCCACTATGGCACCGGTGGCCACATCTAAGTTGCTTCTGCTGCCTCTGATGCAACCGTCCCAAACACATCAAACCAAAGAGCAACCAACTTAGAGGTTGCCGACCCAGGAGCAGCCGACTTGGTGGTTGCCGACCCAGGGGCAGCCGACCTGGAGGTTGCCGACCCAGGGGCTGCCGACCCTCCTCCAGCGGTGGACAGACAGGATGAAGAACCTGTACCTGCTCAGCTAATGGGGCTCTTACAGGAGTTACAAGAGATCCCCTCTTCTGAATCAGAGACCTCTGTCAATCTGGTAAACACTTGAGACCCCTTCTTCCAAAGTACCAAAATATAAGCTAATATTAACATGATCTTTGGCACACTATATTTCCATCATTCAGGGACCTAGATCCATACCTCAACATCCACTTGAAGCAGCCGACGAATCAGCTATCGAGGTACCAGCCGTCCAACCCCCCAGACTTATGGCTATTTTGGCACTTTCAATGACCACCATCCGTCCAGAGGTATGTGCAACATTTCACAATTGATTCTTAACATTCTATCTCCGTTCAGTCTGAGATAAACATCTTTCATTTCAGGGATGTTCTGATCTAGCCCTCTTGTCGACTGTCCCCATTCCGACGGACGTCCAAGCTGTAATTGCACAGGCTGTTGACAAATCTTTCCCCAACCTGGGGTTAGACTTGCTTGACAGCCTTCTT